CCCTGTTGAGCGCTCTCCGGAGACCACCCTCCATAACTTCGTTCAGAGAATCGTTTGGCAGATTTTGAATGCAGATTTGAAATCAGCATCAAAAAATACGTCTAGCAGTATAGGTCCCATTTCAGATGGCCACTTCGACTTGGGATCCTTTCCTTGTAAGATGGATGGGCAAACTGTACCGTTGAGATAGCCTCGAAGCAGTCCTGCCATCGCTTCATTCCTTTGAAAGAGGCTGTTCTCCTCATAACTTTTTTTTTGACTTCCTCGGTCTGGCGATGACGAACCCCAGTGGTATAATACCTATACCGTTCATCACCGCGAATTTCAAAGTTCCAGCTGACCTCTAGGTAGTGGACGGCTTTTGCAAAAGGCAAGGCTTTCTATGCTCTTTCCCTCACTTTTCAGTTCTACCAGATTGTCTTTTCGAGAAGAAATATGTGATAAGGCTTCTTCTACTCGCCTGTCTTTTCTCCTACGAAATCCGCCCATAACCACGCTTCTCTCACTTACCTCAGAGCGAGCACTCGATGTTATCGATTCGGCTACACCTTTGAAAGTTTTCTTGGCTGCCGTGGCGAATAGTATCTGACTTTTAGTTATCACAGTCGAATGCTCTTCCTTCAGTCTACTTCACTTGATTCTCGCAGGCCCATTACATTTGTCTTGTTTCTGTTTTCAATGAAGTAGTCTTAATTGAGCGAACTAATGGTCGGCGTTATGTAGCGCCCATCTGTAGCGCATAATCTTTGCGTTTTCTACTAGTTCTTGATGCCTGCCATGTACAAAGCCTATTTGCTTTCTGGTTTTGTCGCTGTGGAAGATAACATCGCAGTCACGTTTCCGAAAGTTTAATCAGAATGTTGAAGTCGTATGAATTAGAGTTTCCGAAGATTAGCTCGTCATTGGCATTACGTGAATCATATCCAAACCCTACCATGACAGTTGTACCCATCTTTGTAGTACTGACATATACATAACGTACCCATTAAGTTCTCCTGCAACACTGAAAAATTTCCGTGCCACTTCTGCCATCTTCTTCCCATCAAGCAGGATCCGGAAACTTTTTATCTGCGCAGAACAGCCACTTAGCCGAGCGCGTAGGCAAAGAAAGCTTGATACGATAGGCGATCAGAAACGACTACAATTTTAATCAAGCAGTCAATGAAGGGGTCGACGCAACAATTCAGTCTTAAAAACGTTTGAATACAAAAGCTCCTACATATTTGGTGGTTCTGAAGCCGGTGCAAAGAATGATTTGAAGCCGCGGCCAAAGCCCCTCAACCTGAAGCAAAACCATCGTCTTTTGCACGGCACAGAAATCCATTCAGCTCTAGCACATGCTTTAGCTCGCAGATGACTAACAACGTGCCAACATTAAGAATCGTAGTGTAACCTCTATCTATAGAAGAACTTCCGAGACTTGGCACCATCTTCATGAATAAGTTCGTAGAATCGTTTTGCAGATTCGGGGAGCATGTATACTCGTCGATGCGCACTTGGCCGTGAGCATCAACTCGTGCGAGAGTTTGACAGTACCTATCTTAGCTGTAATTTTTAATTTTCGAGCGACCACTTTCTAGTTTCAACTACTACCACTCTAATTATGATTAAAATCATCACCATGTTGTCTCGTATATGCTTGACCTTCTCAAGTCCGCATGTACTAGCAATTATATATAATTCTGCGATATATTCTCGCACTGCGTGACCTACTTTATTTGAGCTGTCTCTTCGGCTGAAGCTGCTGCTCCTTTGCCTCCATCAGCTCTTGGTAACTCGTAGCACCAATCTTTTGGAGAAATATGAGGTGTTAACCTCTCTCATTCTTCCCTCTTCCCCCACAAGGTCTTAAAAGAAGTGTCAGGCATAGCAAGATGGTCGTGCACTCCGACCTCAATTCTTCGGGAGCCGTGCGGGTCCTAACCTGCCGGCGCACATCTGTTCTCTGGTAAATGCTTCTAGAGTATGCACTTGTTCCCGTTCATCTCCGATTCCACTGCTTGAGTGAACTGCTCAATCTTTCGGCCTTGCCACAAATATCCCAGCTTGGTGGAGTCGGGTTTCTTGCATGCTAATCTACGACGATTTCGTCCCCTAAACGCCGTTAGTCGGCGAGGAAAGACTGAGACTTCGAGCATATACTCTAGCTCTAACTTTTCTAATGTTCTTTGCCGTGTTACACACTTCTTTTGTGGTATTCTTCATTCTTCTTTACCCACACGTCGCCGTCGTCCTTTTCCTACCTAGCACCACTGTTGCTCCAAACCAGCCTACTCATTACTTTCGTAATAATGTCAAACTCATCAAAAAAGAGAACCAGACTTTATTCTTTCGGCTTTTTATGTTTTTGAAGCCCTATATTCAGACTCTCATGAATATTTGCATAGAACAAATACTTTGCTGACGGTTGACTCCATCTTGACATAGTACTTTAGGTTTACCTTTTAAATGTTAACTCTGGGGACTCCTTCAAAGTACTCTTGTCAAAGGCCGGCCCAGTGCATGCCGCAAAATGGAATCCGAATGGAAGAGAATTCTGTGTTTGTTATGGATTCATGCCTGCAATGGTATACATTCGTATCCTTTCTTTCTCCTTCTCTTTCTTTCTATTTGAAGTTTTAGGTGGGCATATATAATCTTCGAGGAGACGAGACCTTCCACACAGATGAAGGTCCACGCAACGATATTTTCTATAATGCCTTTGGCAGTATACTGCTAACCTGCGGTTTCGGCAATTTGGGGAAGGGGAAAATGGAGTTTTGGGATGTGGAAAAGAAAAAGCTAATTGTTGCGGCAAGTTTCGTAAATGTTTTTATTGCCACTTAAATACAAATTCGCTCGATTCTGTTCAGATTAGTGTACCCAACACCACGTTATTTGAGTGGGCTCCCGACGGGCAACACTTTCTTACTGCTACAACCGCGCCTCGTCTTCGAATCGATAACTGTTTCAGGTATAGTCCTCCAAAACTGAAGTTTCTTCGTCACTCCCTCATCTTTACTCTTCTTATCACTTTAAGTCTCGCTACAAGTATGTGGACTCTGGCTTATTGTTTTCATTTTATGACGGACACATGCTTGACAGGGTTGGGGGAGTCGGCATTTAGTTCCACGGTTCCACACTTCTAATTAGTTCGCATCTTTCTCGCGCATCCACTCACTCGCCTGTGGGATGACCTCGCTTAATTAGTTGGCTGTGACCTCTCTGGCAGTCTGAGTGAACTGATATTGATCCTATAGATTGGAAACTGTGTTATTATCATTACTGATATTATTATATTATTATTTGTTATTATTACACATTTTAAAGTTGTATGCAGTTAGAACAATAAAATGTAAAAATTCAAAATCTTTATATAATACGAAAACTGTGAAGCATTGTCGGTGACGTATCTAGACATTTTTCTGCAGAACTGCTCTGTTTCCTGCTCACTTGGTAAATTCTCCATCCACTTGGTTCCCATAGATTAGAACGTGATGCTTTCTTCCCTTTCTTTCCTGCCTTTCGCCACTTAGGTGTGCTCCGGATTTGAGGTAGCTGTAGCTGCACCTAGGGTTTCTAAAAACGAAGGGTTTTGGTTGACAGATCTCACAGTGCTTTAGGATGCTGAGGATATATAAAAGGAATCCGGAGCTACAGCACTCGAGGGAACAGAAAGGGAAGTTGCAGGGGTGGAAACGGGATTCAAGAAATAGAGGTGGTACAGTGTATTGTGGTAGGCTAGCTAAGTACAGGATCCGTAGAAATAAGAAGGAACAACAGTAGCAGCTAATCCTGAGTTGAAGCCGAGAAAGCTCTGTAGTCGAACTCAGAGTAGTACAAGTGCTCATGCAATGACAAGCACACTACAGAGGTGATTTGTGATGCTTTCATCCACATATTTGAATACCTTCAGTGACCTACTGGCGGTGTCCACAGAAAGCGATAGAGGGTGTTAAAAAAGCTTGAAAGGTCACTTTGTCAACTAGTTTGCCTGCAGGCGCCCTGTGAGAATGGCTGCTTACGCGATGTGATAAATCCTTTTCCCCATCCTATGATTTTTCCAATCATTACTTTAGCCTCCACAGCTTTCTGTGTTGCACTATTAGAGTGTTGCGTATTTATTTTTTTGTTTTGCCTTATTTTTCATGTTTTAGAAGTTTCTTAATCATATAATCGATATTGATACTCCTGAGTATGGCTGTGTGGCAGAGAGGTCAGCAGCCAACCAATTAAGCGAGGCCACCCCACAGGTGAGTGAGTGGATGGGCGAGGAAGGTGCGAAGTAATTAGACGTGGAACTAAATAGGCTCACCCACAGGGTTGGTGCAGGGTGATCGCTTGTGTCATCTGAAGTAGCACATAAAGCTGGAAATCATCAAAACGTGCTCGTCACTAATGCATTGTCCCATATAATGAGCCATCTATGAGTCGTTTTTGCTTATCTCAAGAGTACTCACCTTTTAGTGGAACACTGGGTCGAGTGATCGAGGTATGTCTGCGCGACGAGGTGTCGAAGAAAATCGGGTTTTACTTTGAAGGGGATCGTGTCAACTCGTACGAGTAGTTACATAGTAGAACAGAACACATTTAGAACACCACGAAGTGCATTTAACTGGGATGAATGAGTTTCTATTTGGAATCATAATGCAACAGGAAGCGTGTTCGTCATGCATTGTAAGTGGGCGGCAATTGAAGGACATCCAGCCGTTCGCCATGAGGTAGTGATTTATGACTGAGGTATCAATATACCAAGTGGGTTAGAAAGTCTTCTTTTAATTCCAGAACTTCCTATCGTTAGTCGTTTGTGTTAGTTGTAAGCCACCTTCAAAACTGTTCCATCATAAGTTAACATTAGGTTGATGCATAATTATTGCGAATTTTTTTGCGGCTTATTTTTACTCTATATAATTAAACATTGAGTTGGGTCTTCTATAGAAATGATCTCCATGATTTCCTCTACAAAGATGTGTCTAGAAAACTTTCTGCAGATTGCGATCTCAATATCTTCTCGGCGATGGAACAATGAGCCGAAGCCAACTAAGAAATGGGACCTGCTTCTAAATCTACCATACTCATCAGCAGAAACTTTTATGGATTATCACATCAACCCTTCTTCGAAAAACTGGCTAGGGAATGGAAGCTACGACGATTGACGATTGACGATGACTAGTGGCTGGTGCCAAAGCGTGGATCGCCTCTAAGGACCAAAACTTCTTCACCTTTGGAATCCGACTACCTAGCCAATGGGAAACTATGCTTGACGTGGAAGGTGGATAAGTTCTGGAGTAATTATTTGAACATGATTTTTCCAGTATATTTATCGTTTCTTTAAATAAAATTTGTTGCAAAAAATCCGCAATAATTATGCATCAACCTAACACAAACGGGTTGCTTCCTCGACTTCAGTTGTCAATTCTCCAAGAGCACCTTTGAGGCATCTCCTATGTGATGCATGGCGTATTAGAGGTGCGACAAGATCAACCTTCATCAGCATTGTCGTACATTGGTTCGCTCACTTCAGGGTATGACCCATCTTGGCATGAACCTGGAACGACAGTGCTCTATGGGCACAACACAGTCGGTGACATTCTCGGCACTGTATAAGAGGAAATCGTGGTTGGGAGGTCAGCACCGGCAGTCACATACACAAACAATCACTGTGCCCATATAGAACTCTTCGTTTGCTTTTAAGGTTTCGACCAGAAAAGCTGCTTATTCGAATTAACCTTCATGGGTGACTGATAGAACGTTTTCAATGCGGGGAACCACTGGTTAAATTCACGACTCCGCCTCGAAAATGGCCGAAACGAGCTTATGCTTGCCCGCGATAGCACTGAGCTTCGTAAAGCTCGAAAGAGTCGTAAGAGCTGGGACACGGCTCCTCACGTAACATGTTTCTGTGACCTTGCTCTTTTGTTTGCCTTTTAGTTGGAAATGTTAGAGAAGCAGTAGCGTTTTTTGATTTTCGTCTCTACAGTTTTGGATAAGGGAGTCGCTTACCTATCTATTGGATGGGACAACAGTGATCGACCATGGTGATCATATTATACTAGTTGGGCTCCGCACACTAACGCGTGCATTGCCACAGGGAACGCGTCAAACACATACGAATTTTTGATCTGAGCTCCACCTCTCAATAATATGAACTACTGTAATCTGATGGCTATATCCCATGCAAAACGTACTGCCCACTTCGAGAACGCCTCGCCACCGGCCGACTTACATAACATTTCCGCGTCGGTATGTTTTTTGTAGATGCTATCACAAACTTCGTTGGTGACCCCCTATTCCTGATCTCTTCCCATTTTTTAGTACCTGAACTTTCCTGAAATAAAATCAAAAAGTTTTTACTTTCGAATTGCTCGTTCCAACGCATATTCCTTATATATGTGTATATATATATACATAGATACAAGTATATACAGGCTGTCCCAAAGTTATGGGCGCCAAAATTGAAACTTATAAGGTAAAAGTAATTGATCAAATTCACTTCACCCGTTGTCGATCAGTTGCACGGGTAGATTTTCTTGCTTTTATATGGCGGAGGTTCATTCAATGGTACTTGCAATCACTGGCATGCGAGAGGTGGAAGAGCATTATGATTTTTTTTGATTCCTGTATTATCCGTACAGAAGAGGCTATTGAATGATACAGAAGAGGAGATTCAGTCAAATATAAACCAGAAAGGGATGGAAAAGCCAGTGTTTCTGAAGGCAGGACTATTAAAATGATACATTTACGAGTCGATCGTAATCCTGGGTACCCTTCAAAAAACCGGCAAAGAAGTAGGACTTATCGAGGTTGTCCCTGGAGGAATCTCAAACACATGTTCCATCGCCGTTCCTATCGTATGCAAACATGCCGCCCCATTTCTGATCTCAACAGACAGTACAGGGCCAGAAAATGCAGAAGGTTGCTAACTCTTTTGAGTGGAGACACGCAATCCTTCATCGTTCTCTCTAACTGAAAAATTTCACGAATCTGGAATAAACAGTTAAAAGTCGCAGAAAAATTAAGGTCAAATCCTAGAAGCGGACAGAGCTTGCGTTGAGTGGAAGGGGCTGAGATCGGAAATTCACAACCCCGTTTGAAAAGGTATTAAAACGCGGAAAAATAGTGGTTGGAGTCTATAAGAAAATGCGGTCAAAATCCCAATGTAAGCGGTGTTTTCATGGGATTGGCGGGACTGAAATCAAAAATTCACAATTCTTTACGAAGACTTCTCTGACGTGCCGGAATCGCTCCTTATTTTGTCCATCATTGTCATTACTTACTACCTATGAAACCATCATTATCACCCACTATTCCTGGAGAATTTCGGAAGGGATAACTTAAGGAGCGATATATTCGTCTTGCCTATAGTGAGTGGTAGGCAGGCAGGTAGACGTGACTGTCGAAGAGATCCGAGAAGAAGTCATAGATGACCTTCTTCATTAACCTTCGAGATGCAGTCACTGTTACGTCATGACAAATCTGTCGGACTTTGCGAATGCTCTTTCCGGCTTCGGCGGCTTCGTCCATTGCTGCTGCTGTTCTCTCTTTCAGATCTTCCTTTATCGCTCCTCTGCGTAGTTTTGCAACTTGAGATGTTTGTTGATGTTTGCCTGTAGCTAGCGCGATTCCATGGTGGCGTATCAGCTCGAGAGTCTTCGATGAGAATCGTCTCTTGGCTACTTGTAGACTCTCTGCTTTCCTTGTACTATCGTGAAGGTGTTTGACGAGCCGGCTGTATTCTTCATCGATTTTGTCGATAATGGAATCTTCCCATTCACTCGCAAGGGAAGAGCGGTGGTCGAGGTCTTGGGGCTTCGTTTCCAAAACTCCACAGCTCTCTCTCCACGCACTGAAAAGCAGAATCTAGCGCGATGGTGCGATTCCGTGTAGAACTACAGCGGCGTCAGTGGCTGCTTTTGTAGTCCGCCGTTCGGCCCGCGAGCGAGCGATTGGGGCGGCGCTTGCCCCTTGTTTACAACTGAATCTTAGTCGATACCACCGGCCCGGCCGATTCGCGTGCTCCCTCGCTCGCTCGCGGACAATGAAAGCAGCAAGGAGTCAAGGGTCGGGCAAAATCTCGGATTTAAGATGATGTGTGGGTCGACATGATAAGCTCGGACCGCATTTCGCAGCTCTTCTGCCGTTCTGGGGCCAGTCTTGGCGTTAAAATCATCGACGATGACCTTGAGAAAAAGTATGGTTTTCTCGGTGGAGCCTCTCCAGAATCGTGTAGAACGCGGTTGATTCGGGTTGTTAGCTTTCCTTAGAATGAAGAATTCGTTTACATGTCTCTTTTCCAAAATTCAGTAGTACTGGGAATGTTGAGACTCCCATCAGAGTAAATGTGAGCTCAGGGAAACACCTCTTCAGGAAGCGCAGCATTCAGTTTAACAAAAAAATAAATAAGACGAATAAGATTTATCCGCGGCAAACTTAGCGTTCCCGATTTTTTTGCTCAAACTCATAACCCACACCAGTCTATAACGAGATTTGCGAGAAGTGAAGCTTGTATTTGATCGGTTTGGTGCGTTGCGAGCATGCTGAACAATGCTCTTCTTTTATTGCACTGTTCTGTAAGATTCCTCCCATTTAACCCATTTAATTCGATCGCGCTGCCTTTTTTGACTGTAGTGCGATTTTAGGTTTTGCCTCGGAGGAAGTTAATTTTCCGCTTGCTAAATGTGACGAGTGATTTGATCCGTTCTTGAAGATCCTAAATTGAAGTGGCCTTCTACGATCGCTCTACTGTCTAAGGTAGTTCCTCTCCTCCTGAATGGTAAAATCTAAGTTTAACTGGTAGAGTATGCATCGTTATTACAAGATTGAGGAAAGGCTCGTTATTCTGACCTATGTATAAGCCTGATATAGTTTTAACCTTCTTTTCTGACGCTCAGGTAATGCGCTGCGTTTGCATATTTTTTATCCAGTGCTGTTGATATCAAAAAAGAGAAACCGAATGATGTAGGATTGTTTACTTTGATCGCCTGCGCTCTCACGGAATATCGGAAATAGTTCATCGTTTGTGCGTAGATGCCTAATAATCTGCCTCAGCAGGATAGATTCTCAGGGGAGGAGAAACATTACAGCATCTGCTGGTGGACTGACCAGGGAGGGGTAGTCTACTTATCTTGGAACTTTGAATTCAGACCCAGATAAATAGATAGAGTTTCGAATGCTGTTTACGAAATGCAACTTAAAACTGCAAAATGATTCTCCTTAAAAAGTTATGGGGGCCCGAATTTTGCCCTGCCCGAACAGTAGTATCAGTTGGAAGTGCGAACTCGTCGCTTCCATATCAAACGCCCACGTGACCTAGTGGTAGTGGTCTCGCTTCGTGGGCGTAAAGTGAGGGGTCCCTCCCCGCCATTTTCCGCACTTTTGCAAAGTGTTTTTTCATTTTATCAAAGGCTTTATAAACGTTTTCTGACATTTCTTTAGACAATTGATACTATTGTCGAGCAAAATTCGGGCCCCCATAACT